AGCAGGTAGGGCTCCTGGGAGTGGAGGCTGGCTGTCTTGGTGGTCATCATCTCTGACTTGTTTGCTGTTACATGGAAGGTTTTGAACTTCACGTGAAAGCCAGTGTTTAAAATCATGCTAGAGCCCCCCAAAGTTGGAGCTGCTTGCTCTTCAGACACCTTAAATTTTGCTAGACTTGTCTGAAGTGCTCCTTCTGAGAGAAGGTGTCCTGGGATGGCTCTTGTTGTCCCACACACAGGTGATATTGAAGGCTCGTGACAGAATCCCAACTCTCCTTGACACCTTATGCCCTGTGGGTAACTTGGCTTAACCTTTCTGATCCTCGTTGTTCTAGTGTGCAGAATGGCCTCACCTCAACTCCACAGTGTTGGGGGAGAGGTGAAACTGAGAGGGCAGCGCTGTGGGCCCAGGAGCCAGGTGCTTTCCCAGCGTTGCCCTGCCTGTACATCTACTACTTTTTTTTTTTTTTTTTTGTATTTTAGGGAAGGGTCTACAGAGTGTTCAGGGTCTCACTGCTAGATCAGACTCATAGTGATCTGTCTTTTACAGCCTCCCAAGACCTGGGATTACAAGTGTGTGCCACCGCACCCAGTCTCAATCGCCATGTCAGTGCACCCTGGGGGTGAGGCTGGCACGTCAGGCCCGGGATTGAACCCCTGGCCTCTGCACCTGCTTGTAGGCGTTTTGATCTGCTGAGCTATTTGGCCAACCCTGTACCTCTACTACTAATAAAGCTATAATCAAGTAAGTGCCCCCATCTTTGGCTCCTACTGTCAGCCTCTGAAGCGTGGAGCAGTGGAGCGCTTTGCCCAAGATCACAGCAAGGAGGATCACTCAAGGAACTGAGTCTCAGTTCCAGGTCTGTCTGGGTCCAGACCTGAGGAGTGGGATAACTGGCCTTTTCACTTACTCTGTAATGATCCTCACATTATGCTGTGTTGTCCCGCCCCGCCCCCCCCCACACACACTCTTTTTCGGTTGCCTAGCAGTACATGGACAATCATAACCGGATAGCTACTTCTCCTGCCGTTGGCCTTTTGGTTTCTAATTTTTTGCTGTGAGCAGTGAGGCACCCGGGAGGCAGGTCCAGAGCCTCCCATGTGCTCAGGGCTACACTAGGTCTTTGACCTCTGCCAGCCCAAGAACACGCAGCTCAGAAATGACTCATGCAACTCAGATTGACCTAACACAGAGTGCTGATTTCTTGCTTTTTTCAGTGCTAGAATTCTTCATTCCAGCAGGGCTCCAAACGGTACCCTTTCTTTCCTCTGTAACAGGTCTGCCTGAGAGACTGAGAAAGTGGACTTGGAGTTTGCAAGCCCAGATTTAGCAGCAGTATAGCCTTTAGGAGATTTTGGGCATACCAGAGAAGGCCTGTATTAGTCAGGACAGGCTGGATTAGGCTGTGGTAACATGTAGCCCCAGTGGCATGGCTTAAGCACCCCTCATAGGATGTGTGGTATTGTCCCTCCACTACCCTGCGCAGGGCCGGTTGCCATTTCAGGAGCAGAGAGGATGTAAAAGAAACCCACGCAGGCTGCTCTGTAAGGTTCAGTGTGAAAGTGACACATGTTACTTCCTTTCACTTTTTTTTTTTTAACCTTAAAGGAAGAAGGTTTCAAAGCCATATTTAATGCTAAACGGGGAGGGGACTGTGTCAGCCTTCTCCCCAGAGTGGGCGGAAGTGGAGCGTTTGAGGAACAGTGCTGAGGGCTGCCAAAGGGCTTGTCCTTTTCTCACCCATTAGAGTCTGACGCCTTTACCCCATCTTGGAACATTTGCGTCCAGGCCAAAGTGGCTGAGCGTTCTGTCCTGGGGGAAGACTCTAGCCTCCAAATCCTCGCTCACCGACACCCATTGGGCCCAATCTCTGGACCTTAGTGGAGCAGGGGGTGGGAGGGGTGGGAGGTGACAGGTAGATTCCACCCCTGCTGCTGGACCATGTTTGGTATTGTGACTCTGCAGCAGGTGGACCCATAGAATGACAACCCTTGGGTGAGCCCCAAGGACATCCTGAATGTACCTCAAAGCAGAATGGATGTACTAGCTGAAACACGAAATATGAAAGAGAGACGACCCGGAATGCATCAACTATCCCCCCACAACACAGCGTTGACAGGAAACAAGGCAAGTAGCGGGCTTCCGTGTGCAGTCCGAGCTCACTTGGTGAGCGTTGAGAGCCAACCCTACACGGCACGGCTCCCTCTGCCTTCCAGTGCCTGTGGATGCAGGGAGCAAGGGGTGGGGGAGAGCGGGCAGGGGCAGGAATGAGTGCAAGGGGGCCTTCTGCTGTATTTGTGCCTAAAAATGTAAAAAGGATGGTTTAGGCGAATGCGTATAACAAGCTCTGAGCAGGTGTCACTTCTGAGTAGCTGGTCTCGGTGTTTCTGGTCTCATCCTTTGTGCTCCTTCGCGGTTTCAGAATGAAAGGCCGGAAATCTTGCTTCGTTTGCCTGGGTGTCCATCTGTATGCCTTTAAAGAAGGGTAGCTGGGCAAGGACAGTAGGTGTCGTGTCCGAGGGCTTCACAGACCAACAGCATTGCAGGGAAAACCCGGGAACCAATATAAGGGTGTGAGTGGTCTGGGTTTTCACTTTGGCAAGAATGAGGGATTATTTTTTCTTTTCGAGACAGGCAGGGTCCTGCTATTACAAGTCAGGCTGGTCTTGAGCTCACTTTGTAGCCCATGCTGGCCTCAAACTTGCAGCGATCCTCCTGCCTCCATAGTGCTAGGGTTACAGGTGTACCCCACCACACCCAGCTGTATCTGGGGCTTTTTGAGATCAGATCTTGCAATGTAGCCGGCCTTGAACTCACTACATAGGTCAGGCTGCTTTCACATTTAAGGCAATACTCCTGCCTCAGCCTCCCAAGTGCCGGGTTGCAGGTGTCTGCCACTATGCCCAGCCCAGAATGAGATTTTTTTTTAAAAAACA